TCCATCTCCTCTCCAGGCGCTTTCCCTGGGAGCAGGACTGGAGCCTGCGGGCAGGGAAAGGGTGAGCTTTGCAGTTGTTGGTTGGGCCCCACTTCTCCACAGTGCTTACCCACAGGCAGGCCTGCCCTGCAGCACACGAGGCATTCACCTTTCCAGCAGTGCTCTTGATGCGCTTAAAAGCAGGCACTTGCTTAAGTGTCCTGCTTAAGTGCCTCTTAGTGCTGTCAGCAGTCTTGGATGGAGAGGGAGACAGATTTTGTTCAGAGGTGTTTATGGCCCGGCTAATGCTGGTGCTGGAAGCCTCCATAACAACTTTTTTGGGCAGTTTGCGTAGCCCTTTTAAAGGGAACAGCAGCACATCTCAGTTTCGGGGTCTATTCCTAAGTGAGCCTACAAAAGGCACTAAGAAAGGCAAGTTCAAACCAACTGTGCCACAATCCACGGATTTTTTTTTTTAAACCCTTAAAAGGCTGATTTTTAAGAATCCACAGATGAATTAAGGTTGAAAACTACTGCCCTAGAAAAGTGTGCTACTGAGAATGTGGAATTCTGTGGAGTGTTTGCAAATGGTTCATCAGTGTTGGATGCCAAGAGCACACAGCATATTCCATCTCAGTGTGTGTCAGATGGCATATTGTGGAGAGATTTTAGACCAAGACTTTACTAAGGGTGTATAAAGAGATGATCGATAATTCCTTGGTGGGTTTGTTTCCTAGACTGTCTGCATTTGAAGTAGTGACGTTATTTGTGTGTAATAGGAAAGTTTGAAATTTCAAAGTCGTTTCCAGGGTTAGAACAGACCCTTTGTTTCAGTTTTCATTTTAAGTCGTTCTCCTGATGTTTGCAGAAGTATTCTACAAGCTCCTATTAGACTTTAGGTGTCTGATTTAGTTTTCATAATTTTTCATTAAAAAGAAATAAGGAGCAATAGAGGAAACAACTGTAAAGATGTGAGAAAAAGCCCCTGTCAATACTTCTTCAGGAAACGTTGCCTTTTTCTTCAAAAGGGCTCTTTTTTTCTTAAGGAAAAAAAATGCAAAAAATTTTGGTTTCTTTTCTTGGAGATCTTGTTTGCATTTTAGGAAGGACTGCATGTTCAGCAGTGTGTATTAGAGAGCAGGAGGTTTTGGTGTGATGACATGTCTGTGTTTCAGAGTGTATCCGTGTCTAAGTGTAATGTACTTGTCTGTATTGGTGCACTTTATGATGGATGAATTGCAGATCTCACAGGTTCTTTCTGTGTATTTGTAAAGCTGTACTGGGCTTGGCTCTACCAGGCCCCCATCCTGACAGAGGCCCAGAAACAATCCTACCTTTCAGCCAGGGCCGGCTCCTGTCCCCTTTGCTCATGTTAATTTATTCTTTACCCTGTGATTGGTTTGTCTGAAGCTTCTGGGAATACGCATGAGCTAAGCCATACAAATGCAGGACAAACAAGACTTGAAAAATTCAGGCAAGAATTAGAGCTATGCATTGTTTCCTCATGGAAAAAAATGACTTTTCAGTGACAGTCTCTCTTTTTCTTGGGGGGAAAAAGTTCAGTTTTTCAAAAATGCACAATTTGATGATTTCTCAGTTTCATCAAAAGTCTTCACAATTTCAGTATAGAGTGTTTTGCTTGTTTTTTTGTTTGTTTTTTTGAGAGAGAAACCTAGAAAAAATATCCTTCCTCCTCCTCTCCAAAGTGATGGAAACCAAAGTTACCATTGAAATTATTTTCTGTTCAGGAAAAAGAATACTGCTTAACATTTTTACTAATAACAATCGTCACTAATATTGTTGTAATCATTTTCGTTAGCAACAGTAATACAGATAACTGCTTGTGTACTCAGGCTTTATGTAATGCAGTCTGTCTTTTTGAGGGCATGTGGTTGTATATCTAGGGCATGTGAGAATTTGGGGTCCTGTTGTGGCTGTGACACTGACAGTGCTAGATACAGCTGTGCAAAGGTGCTGAAAGACAGTATGAAACTCTGGCTGTATTTGCACTGAACTGCGCATCTGTGTGTGGGCATGTTGTTCCTCCTTAGCAGAGAGGGTCGCAGGGAGAAGGTCTGGAGGTGGCAATTCTGCTCCATGGCAACTGTTGAAGTTTTTTGAGAACAGCAAAAGAAGAAATAAACCTTCCAAACATTTTTTGTATAGCCCAATGACATCAGAATTCAGACTGATGGTTCATATCTGAGCCCTGAATATTTCAGTAAGTATTCTCAATAAATATTTGATCCAAAGGGATCCAGGTCCCTAAAAAGCTCAATTTTGATTAAGTTTACTCCGGTTAAATGAAACAACATTAAAACATTTCAGCTGGCTCTAGTGAGGGAGATACAAATGGCAGCTTGAGGCCTGATTTGAGGAGTCTGAATTGCCTAGCATCTCAAACAAGCAAAATCCACCCTGCAGTTATTTACCCAAGAATGTATGAATCCACTCGGATGTCCATGTTTAACGAGCCTGTATCCACAGGCGTTTGCCTTGCTCTGAGTGGGGTGTGTGTGTCATGCCTCAAGTGTCTGCACTTGTGTGTGCTTAATCAGATCATGTGAATTTGTCTATCTGGGTGTATCAATGTTGTGTTGTGCTTAATGCAGTGGGGGTGCAAATAGAGTTGTTGGTTTAACGGGCGGTGTGCAGGTCTGTGAGAAGTGTCCCTGCTCGGTCTCCCTGGCTGTGGTCACAAATACAAGGAAAGTTATGAGGCTCGGTTAGGCAACGCTGGCCCTGTCAGTAAATCATTGTGTGGTTCAGGTTTTTTTTCCACATTGGACTCCATAGAGAATCAGACAGACTGTGCTGAGCTGGTCCCATCTGCACCCAACCTGGACAGCAGCTTTATCTTGCCTTGTAAAACTGCAGAGCTCTGTGACAAAAGAGTTAATCTCTGCCTTTGTTTCTCTTCCTCTCTCTCTTCTCTCTTGCAGCCTGACTGAAAGGCAAGAGGAGAGCAGATCCATCAGTGTCAGCTGCTTTCAGCACATCAGCACTTTTGGGGGGTTTATTGGGGACTAGCCCATCAGCAATGCTTCCAAACTGCACACAGGCTGCAGAAGGCCCCTCCTCCTGTGAAGCAGCCAGGCTGCCCGGGGAGCAACGCCAGGGCCTCGCACGCTCCTGACCAGCGGCCGGGTGATAAATGACTGTACAAGGCATCTCTGTGGCTAGCAAAGTCCAGAGGGTAGGCCACAGCCAAGCTCCTAGGGAAGCAGCAATGAAACCGTATTAATTTCTGGCCATGCGTCCATGTGTGTCTGTGTCCGTACTGTCTGAAATAATACCCTTGACACTTGCACATGCTTCTCTTCCAAACAGAGTAACACAGAAGGGGGGTAAAAGAGAAAGAAAACAATTTGATTGACAGGTTAATGAAGCAGTTCATAACAGTGATATATATTATAACCATAGAAACAGCTTGTGAATGCCCAGTTGCTTTACACATATAAACACACTTCCATGTATAGAATAGAGGAATAGGTCTGTATGTATATATATATTTGCCTATGTATGAAATGTATATGCATGTGTATATGTATACCTTAAAGATACAGGAATGCAACATCAATGACATGCAGCAAAACTAAAGAATAAATGGGAGGTGGAAAGATTAAACTCCGTTAGCCCAGCAGCAATGCATATCCTCTGCCTTTTATTTTACTCCTAGGGTTGTAAGTGGAGGGACTTAAGAATATACGTTCCATTCGTTTGTGCTCCTAAGGTCTTTTGGTACTCTTGAAAATGCCACATGTGGGGTTTTCTTCATAGGTTTTTTTGGTTGGTTGGTTTTCCCTTAATCTCGGGGTCTCAGGCGGAGTGGCTCAGCTCATTGCCACAAGGCTGGGAAGTCATGTTTGCTCCATTTGAAACTCAGTCAGAAAAACAAAGTGAGGAAACAGAGTGGAGGTGGAGTTTAGACCCAAATCTAATCCTTCGTCTTGACTAATTCCCCATTACATTGGTGTGTTACCCTTTGAAAAGCTAAATGTATCTGCTACTAGGTAGATATTTTGATGTCTTTGTTTGCCTCTGTATTGTATATATCTGTAGGAATCTCCTGATGTACTCTGGGCTGGGGCCGTGACTTACACAACAATCCTTTCTCTTTTGTGGTACTTCTTGGCAAATATAAACAGCGACATACTGAGCTCTTGTGGATGGGCAGCAACTCCAGGAGCTGAAAAAGCAAGTGCAGCATGATTAAGGACCTTTATTTCATGACTCTGCTTTTACTAGTAAGCCTCAATGTTACAATAAGATATTTTCCTTGAGTTCTTTTCCTAGCTTGTCTTAGAGAAAAAGATTAAGAGATTTCTCATACACACAAGAGTGTTAGTTACCCCTTTCCAATAAAAGACATGATATTTTTGCTTTTGGTTTGTACTTCTTTCCTTAGAGCCTCTGCTTCTGGAGTGAAGTGGTTTCCTGAGGATCTTCCTAGCTTTAGATAAATTTCTAAGCATCATGATTATGGAAGAAAAAAGCCAAAGATCCAACTGTACTGGAAAGGATCAGAACCAGAAAGTTCATAGAAAAACTCAACCTACACAACGGAAAGCTGACTGTACAATATTGAAGCTTGGCTCAGACTCAAAAGCTTGGGAAAATCCTCTACAATAATTTCCCCTCAGCATATACCATTAAGTTCCTTGCCTCAGGATCTCTGGAAACAGTTGTGCCAGTTGTTTTCTTCTTTGATGTCGTCTCCAAGATAAAAACGCTTAAGAGGTGGGATGTGTTAAGAGATTGCTGATGTGACAAGTATGGCACCGTAAAAGGAGCATTGATACACGTGTATCTTAGACAACCTGCAACTAATCATACCTGTGAGTCTCTAGCCATAGGTGCTTGTGATTTTTGGTACAGCACCAAGGAGTTCGTTCATTACAAGGCAGCTAGTGTTGTCTCTCTCTCTCGGTCTAGCTCTTGACCAGAGCTCTTGATGAGTTTGTGGTCTGAGGTGCTTACAGGTGAAACAGTCAAGCTGAGCATTTCTGTGTTCATCTTCCAGCTGCAGAACTGAGGTGACTTGTCCCTGCTCACATGCAAAGCTGAAGGCAGAGCCGGGGACGGGATGCAGATCTCCAGCATGGTAAGCCCGTTTTTTCTCTTTCCATCTAGACTGATCAATTATACTAAAGCAACACTCACTGAATGCTGCCCCTTTTCACTTTGGTGAAAACGCCCTATCTCCTGCCATTTCTGTGCTGTTGTTCCCCCTTATCTTTGGCAAAGTCATCTGAGTTTGTAGCTCTGTTGCAAGCAAGTTATTTGGCTTTGAGACATACACTGGGTTGCCTTGCTCCCTCATGAGATAAGGCATTTATTGGAATGAGTCTTTGGTGGCCGTTTTTGCATCCAGATACTCAACTGTCTGTGAAGACCATTCAAGAAAAAAGACCATTCTTTTTAAAATGTGAAATGTCATTTTTGCCTATTTCTAGCAGTATTAGTCATATTTATTTCTAGTAGTATAATTGAGTGCACTCAAAAACACCCACCTGGTTTGCAGCCCACTGAAACTATTGGGCAAAACTCCCATGAGCTTCCTACATTTCTAGGACTGGATCTTCAAAAAACACAGCTCTCCCTAGAGAGTAACACTTAAAGATAAGTCTGAGAAGCAAACCATAAGCCATATACCAGGAAAGGATTGATGCAAAATCTTTGACAGTTGTTCAGCCCCCCACAACACTACATACTACTGTTATTTCAGTATTAGAGAGTGATCATGGAGGTTCCAGTGGCCAGACCCTTTTAATGGGGGACAGAGATGTGTGGGAGTGAGAACCTCTGAGTTGTGGTTGGGAAGGCATGCTGGGCAAATCAAGAATGGTTCTGAAAGGGGCCACACTTCATAGTCAGGAATCTTCTAGTGAGGAACCTTTTCCCATCAGAAATTTGGATGTGTTATAATCGGCCAAACTGTTGCTTTGCTTCCCCCGCCGCTGTGGTTTGTGGCTTGCAGCTTGCTGGGCCCCTTCCTTCCAGGACCCCAGTTATGCGCTGCACCACCTGGTTTGCTTGCGAGTCTGGGGAGGGTACATGCAGAATTTTCCCCCATGTTTTATTTCTGTCCCTGTGAGACTTAATTTTTTGAAAATGCCCTTTGCACAGATACAAATAGCTGCATATCTTGTTTTCTTTAGGAGGATTGTAGCTCTGTAGCCGGAGATTCTCTGTTTTCAAGCAATGTTTGGACCACTGGCGAAGAATAGCGTCCAATCCAGCATCCCCCTGTTGTTCTCAAAGTTCCCCTCTTCCTCTGTCCCCTAGGTGTAGGATGTGCCGTTGTTTTCTGCAAGCATTTTAACCCCTCTGCACATGATGGAGGAGAATAAGCTGACTTAAGCCCTTATGGGAGGAGACTGGGGTGGATAGAAATCAGATTTGTAGGCTAGAGAATCAGTGTTCTTGCATCAGGGATTTGCCCTTAATTCTCCACCAGGGAGGACTGTCGGGGTCTGAGCAGACTGATGCTATTCATGCAATTCTCTTCTCTGCCCCAGAGATCAGAGAAGGGAGGGTAGGTGTTGGAAGGCAGTAGGTGGTTTTTTTTTTTTTTTGGTACATGGAAGCAGTGGGCTGAGGGAGCAAGGTCTCTCTGCCTTTGGTGGTAAGGAAGCGAGGGCTGCACAGAGCAGCTCAGCTGCCTTCTACCATCCAGGTCAGCCAGCCAGATCCAGAATGCCTTCCCAATCAGCACAGCAAGCTCAGCTTTGCTGCAGTCAGCACTGCTGAGAGCAGAAGCTGGGGTTGGGTGAATCCAAATATCCGGATTGCATGGATATTGGCTGGAAATGTTCCACCATATCCGGGTGGCTGCCTTTGCATGATATTCATGCTCGTCAGAAAATTAATTATTTCATTCACCAGGCTCCCAGAGCAGGAGGATTACCTCTCAATACCTGGAGCTCCTCCTGGGGGTGGTGTGTGCGTCTGTGAGCGCACATGTCTGTCTGCATGCCTGTTTACTGAGGGAGTGTATGTGTTGTGGCCATAGAGATGTACAGAAGGCAAAAGATTGTGTATGGCTGTAGGCACAGGAAAGGAGTTGCACGGGTGATGCAGAAATAAGGAAGATCCTTTGCTCTGTGTGTGTGTTCATGTGTGAGAGAGAATGCTCTTGGGGATACTGAGTGGTTTTGGATACCAGAGAGAGGAATATTTCCCTCCAGGAGAGGTGAGCTGTGTGCAAGCAGTGGAGGGTCCATGGTACCAGATACATGACAGTATATTCCTTATCCTTGCCTTTATGTGTGTGCAGAGCATACAGCACTCATGCAAAAAAAATGCGCTGGGCACACGATCCTGCAGGCATGATGGCAGTAGTTCACTCGGGGAAACGAATCCCCAGGTATACGAGATGAGGTGTGTTTGTCATTTGATTAAGGATGTGTGTACATTTCCATGTGCCAGGTGTATACACATGAATCTGAAGAGAGCTGGGCTGGATGCAGTTTGAGAGATCCCATTGTTACAATCTCAGCTCTTCTCCCCAGGGATCTCCAGCCAGCTCTGCTCCCGTTGCATCTGCTCCATCTCTCTTAGGTGCTGCGCAGCTTGATAGGCATCTCCTTTATCCTTCCTTTAACTGCTCAGGTTCCAGTCTAAACTGCCTTTGACAGGGCCAGTTCTTTGCTGGTTTCTTGGCCTAGGCCCTGCCCCCATGATTTTTAGACCTGTCTTCAAAATAGTTGACACATTTGACAACGCAAGCCCAGATTTGCCAATGGTTTCCTGTGTGCTTGTGCTGAGAACGAGAAAAATTTTCCTGTGCATTTGCTGTGTGCTGGAAAGGTGCATGTGTGGTGGAGTGGAGGATCTGATGTCTGCTGGTATTACATCAGTACTTGTGATTTTGGACTTAATTAATTTTGACTATGGTCTTCGTAAACATGGCTCCAATTCTTTTCTTCCTGCTTTTACAGCTGATCAACGGCATGTACATCAGTGGGATAACTTACACCAGCAAGTAAGCAGAATCAGGTCTTGTGATGTTTCAAAACAAAACCTTCCCGCCCCTACCTAAAAGCTTTCTCCAGATCCTTTAAGTCACAAGAGGCCTTATCCTGCATGAGGCAATATGGTCTGTGTATGTGCTGGGATCAGGGAGTTTTCCAACCACAGCAGTGAGGAATGATTTATCCTGAAATGTAAAGCTACTTAATTGTAGCTTGAATCTGAGAGCTCCCTGATTGGCTCTGTTAGGCAGCACAGCGCTGAGTTTCAGGCTCGGGGTATTCTTGGAAATTTGTATTATTAATTGAAACCTTATTAATAGCAAACACAGGATGACATTTTACACGGTTTAGTTATGTTCTGGGAGTCATTGATACAACGCAGCCTGAGCCACAAGGCAAGGAAGCTCCTGCTGTAACTGATAACAGGGAAGCAATAACCAGCTCAGTTCCCACTAACAGGACCTGGGGCGACAGGGACAGCCCTTGCAAATGTCTGATCATCTCCTCTCTGGTTGCTGCTCATCCAGGGGTTAAGGGAAGTCTCAGAGGAAAGGAGTCACTGAGATAATAAATCAAAATGCCGGTTTATTACCAATGGGCTGATGGGCTGAGAACTTTGGCTCCTCCAAATGTCTGGCATCCCCCTTAAAAATAAGAAGTCCCTGAGGCGAGAGAACTGCAAAAAACATACTGGGAAGGCAGTAGCCCCATGTCTAGAGAAGAATATATGATGTTACTCTAGACATGTTGCTCTAGATACCAGAACTCTGGGAGCACTGGCAATGGCTGGGTTCTCTAGAGGAAGGCTTGAAGTCTCATTCTACCACTTTTGAGGTGTGGGTCAAGTCTGGGTCTGGCTTATACGGCAGTGTGGGAAGTATGTGTGTGTGACAAACAATTGACTGCTACTGTTAATACCCTGCAAAAGTCCTTCTTTTCCTCTGCCCAGCTCTGTAGGTGGACAGTCTCATGAAGCTGAAAATCAAAGCAAGATTCCCTCCCACTGAAAAAAAACCAGATGTGTTAAGTTCTTAACATTTTCAAACAAAGTGGCATGTCCAGTTGTTGTACAGAAGAGGCTGCTGTGGTCCCACCTAGTCAATGCAGGCACCATCATCTTCAAGCAGATATTTGTAGGCCATGGATGAAGACCAAAAACCTTTCCTATTGCAGTTAGGGCTGGCTATAAGGATGGGCAAAGCAGGCATACTGTTAGGAGAGACACCCTGTAAGCCACAGCCATGGAGCTGTAGCCTATTTTATCTAGATCTGAGGAGAAATACAAGTTTGTGCAACAACCGTAAATATCCCCATCAACACTCCTGGTCCTCTTTCTCCCATGCTGCTATGTGCATACCCTGCCCTTTCTCTCAGGACTGCCTGGATCCTCCCCAGGAGATGTGCTGGCCTCCCCTTGAACTCTGTAGCCACTGGTGGAGTTGGCTGGTGCTGCTCAGGATCCTTGGAGAGGCCTGCACCCTTCACAAGCTCGGCTTTGGCCCTCAGAGAGCAAGTGAAAGCTCAGACTTCCCCTGCCGAGGCCTGGCCGTAGGTTGGGGAATCCACTTTCCAAGGTGGACACAGCAATATGTCCCCCTCTTCACAGGAGAGGGCTCAGCTGTGGGTGCCAACTGAACTGTCCCTTGTCTGTGACAGCCAGGAGAGGCTTACAGGGGCTCAGCATCTGTGCAGGCTGATGGGAGCTTTCCCTGAGAACCTCTACAGGTCTGCCAAATCCATGGGTCTGTGGGATACACAGTCTGTCACCCATATGCAGTGCTGCAGTCCCCCTCTGCAATCATCAGCTGCATTGCTGGCTGGCGCTGGGTACAAATGAAGTCCTCTCTGCAGGTGTTGTGAGATGTGCTGGGAAATGTGGACAGCAGAGCTCCTCTGCACTCCCTTGTGCAGCAGCAGTGTTTCCACAAAGGCATTGCAGGCACTCGGAGGAAATTACAGGCCAAACTCTTAAAACTATTCCACCCTGGTTTAGCAAGAGCCCCACAGCTGTGGATTATCTGATGCCAGCAAAACAAACCAGATGGACGAAATGGATGGAGAGAGGCCAAGCTGGGATGGAAAGCGCAGAGCGCCCTCCTGTCTTAATGGGCTTCTGGAAGATGATGTA